AACTTTTAACATTGAAGATGATATGAGAATACAAGCCATTTATAGTCTTTTTAATTGAACAGCCTCCACTGTTTTTAGCCATGTGAAAGGACACGTGTCCCTAATTACACTAGGGTTTCTAAATTTTCTAGCCAAGCAATTCTTCCGATCAATTTTCTGGGTAAGCCATTAAGTAATGTTTGACTGATATTTAATGCTTCAAATTAATCCTATGATAAGCAGACCAATATATACCAATTCTAACCTTTGAGGCACTCGAGCTACCTTGCATTTGATTACTAGTAATACTTTCGAAAGAACTCTCTGATGAGAAGAATTATAAACTCGTTTTATTAATCATTAAAATGAAGTAGTTTTTAAAATTTGTAACAAGTTAAATAGATTATTTAATACATCTTTTAATTAAAAAAAATAAAAAATTCATACCTCTTTCTGATCAGATCTCCTTTAAAAGCATTACTCTATAATCATATATTAGGAGGAGGTAGAGTAATGCTTTTAAAGGAGATCTGATGAGAAAGAGGTATGAGTTTTTTTTTTTTTTTTTTTTTTTTATGCAAAGAGGTGAAAAGGCACTAACTAAAGTGTGTGTGTGTGTGTATAAACAAATGAGTAAATTAAGTGTTGGATTGTCCATTTGTCCTACACTCCTAAATTAAATAGTCCTAAATCTAAAGTTATGGCATAAACATTGCTGACTTTTGCTAAAGATACCTTGAAGTCTTTGACCTTTTAAGTGGAGGATGGAGGGCATCATTTCTATTCGTTGGAAAAGCTAATCCATGTCTAGTTCCAAAGGAACAATTTTTTGGTTTTGTGTTCCAATCTCTCTTTTCTTTATTTTTGCAGCTTCTCTATGCCTAATAATTTACTTGCATGCTCCTTTGCGGCCCTCGTCTCCACGACTACTCCTCTATGTCAAATAGGGTGAATTAGAGACAAGCGGAGGGTTAGTTTTGGAAATGATGGTTCAAAATGTGACAGCCGAAACAAATTAATTAGGTACGTTTTAAATGGAAACCTTATGGCCCAGGCTAAAGAGTGAACAGTAGCCCATCCCTAAGGGCTTTCAGTTTTGGGCTGGTGTCTTCAAAATTTTCCTTGCCGACTTGGCCCAATGTATGACAACCCTAGGTGGTTCCGATCTGTGGAAGCGGGTTCGAACCCCCGGGTGGAAGAACTCAATTGATTTCCAATTCTTAATTGAATACTTATACTTCGTTTGATTGGACAGATAGAAAAACAAATGGAAGAGATAAGGGGAGGTATGGATGAGGAATCATTAGGGAAGGAAAGGTGTCTCTCTCATTTTTTGTTTGGTTGAATGAAATGGACACTAGGGAAGGAATGAGAAAAGAGTTTTTTTAAAAATATTTTTTAATTAATTTCACTGACACTCCCTCAGGCTTGGCCAAATGTCACCCTTAAATATTTTTTGAAATTAACTATCACTCAGACCTCAATTTACTTTTACTTTTTCCATTGAAAATGTGCAAAATAACAATTTCATCCCTATTTTTTTAACCTATTTTAATCCAAAATATCAAAAAGCCTAAAATAACCAAATTGCCCTCATTTATTACCCCAAAAACTCTTCATCTCACTCTTTTCTCCAGAAATATATATTTTTTGGTGTACATGATGAAATATATATATATATATATATATATATATAAAGAATAATTTTAAACAATAATTATAAATTTATAATTATAATTTGGTTGGTTTTAAAAAAAAATTATAAGTTTATAATTATAAATTTGGTTTTACAAAATAATTATAAATTTATAATTATAATTTGGTTGTTGTAAATAATGAGAAATATATATATATATATATATATATATATATATATATATATATATATATATAGAATAATTTTAAATTTATATAATAAATGTCAAAGGGTATTCAAGTAATTTCAATCCTTTTTTTTTTTTTAAGTGAACTGATAGTTAGGATGGTAGCAATGTTATTTTACATGCATAAGGCATTTGACATACTTAAAAAGTAACTTTTGGGGTGTAAGTGAAAAAACACCAAACGTTTGTAATACAAGTGATAGTTATTTTCGAAAGATGATTCAATGTGATATTTGGCCAAACCTAAAAAGGTGTCAGTGAAATTAACCCTATATTTTTTACAATTTACCTTCACTATATAAAATAATAAAATGTAGATATTCATTTTAATTTTTTTTAAAACGTTAAAATTGTAAATTATATATTTGTAGGTAGTTATTCATTTTCTCTTTCCTCCTTCTTCCCAAATTTAGGAGATAGAAAAACATGGAGAAAGAAGGATATTTCATTCCTCCTTGCTTCCTTCCTCTCTTCCCTTCTCCCAAACCAAACACAAAAAACTTTATTCATATCTCCTTTCATCCATCCCTCCTTAACTATTCCCCTCCAACCAAACATATGACATTAGAGTAGGATAAAAATCAGCAAATTTTTGTACATCCAAACACACAAGTTTTGTAACATTTTCGTTTTCTATTAGGAGAGAGGCCGCACCATTTTCAGAAGACAAAACATATCTCGCAACTTTCCGACTAGATGTCGTCCGTTATTGGTCGTCATTGAGAGAGATGAGCTGGTAATTTGCTTGTTCCGTTCAAAAAAGTGATGAGTGATAAGTGAAGGCAACTTGAAAAAAGAGAACAAGAGAATGCGGTGAGGCATATACGTTATAAACGAGGAACTGAAATACGATATAATGATGAAAATGTTTTGCCCGCTACAATTAGTAAATTAAGGCCAATAATTATCTTAACCAATGCCTTTGGTAGTGTTTCATGCATTTGCATCCATTATTTCATGTTTCATGCATCAACTGGGCAAAAATCAAATCAAATTATCATTTTTATTAGACCAAAATTGCTCCCATATTTGAGATGATGACAGATTCAAAGATTTTTAGGAGATAAGGCGATCTTGAACAATAATAATATATAGTGGGATATCATCAAAAATTAGGTGGGGGCATCTTTAAAATTATAAGTAATTTTATAAAAAATAAAAATAAAAAATAAAAATTAGGCAAGGGTTGCCCTTGTAGCTTCGTCCCTGGTTTACAACCAGTGACTAGAATACTCCACACTTCCAACACTAAGGGTTCCAATAAAATTGAATAAAATCAAAGAAATACGGATATTTCTAGGTACAGTATCAGATACTTGTCAGATATTGATACTTTACGGATACTCACAGATATGTGTCCGATACTTCTTAAACGTTTTCATAATTTTAAGATATATTTTTAAATTTCTAACACGTATCCGATACTTCTCATATACTTTTTAAGTATTTCGACTACGTGTTTGACACTTTTCAAACACTTTGTAACACATTTTTAACAAGAACATTAAAATTTAACTTTTTCAACAATAATATTATAGTATACCTGTTGAAAAAAGTTCAAATTTCATTAAGTGATGACTAGGGATGGCTAATTTTATGCGTTGTGAAATAAACTTTTATTTTATATTAATGATTATTGCATTTAGATTCATAATATTTTTTAAAAATTGACAAAAAATTAATATTTATATATATAAAAATAAAATTTATTAATTTTTTATTATCATCTTGCAGTTTCTTTTTTTTTTTTATTTAAAAATTATCTTACCATCATACTCATATTGTGTCATATTCATATCCCGTAATTATATCTATATTTCTTAGAATAAGACTAATATTCCAGCGCACCAGGTGAGGAATAAGCTTCGAGATATGATATCAATAGTACGCTCTTTCAGCTAGTTGGAAAAGAAAAAATCAAAGAAAAGTTAAATTGGTTGAACCGGTAAAACCGAATAGTTTCCTGTATATAAAATATTCTCTATGCATAATGTACATAATAGAATAATTTCTTAATCGGAAGACTTCACATTACAATTAAGGATATATGACATATATGATATATAATATATAAATATTATATATTAATTTCTCTCTCAAATATTATAAATATAGATTGATATATTTTTATTTTGCTGAAATTTATATAAAAATACTGATGTGACACATCAATTTTGCTACTGAGAAATCATTTTTTTTATTTTTTATTTTATTTTTTTCAGAACTGTGGGTTTTAGCTTAAAATATATATGTTCATTAAAGAATTTTTTATTTTATTTTACCTATTAAAGATTATATTTAAGCTTGTTTGTTTGAATATAAAATATTTTTTATTTTTTATGTTTGATTGTCAAAAATTGAAATAAAATATTTTTATTAAAACATAATAAAAATAATGACACATTAGCTTTTTGCAAGTTTTTTTATACCTTCAACTCGACAGACTCAACCTTTGCCAAATACTTAAAAATATTTTATTAAAAAAGAAACTTGTAAAAAAAAAAAAAATGAAATTCATAGAAGATATTTTACATCAAAATAAACAAAGCCTAGCTCGAATGAATCGATTCTATTGATTCTCACGATATAGTTTCAATTTTTTTGGAACCCTTACAATCAATTTATTTTAAACTCTATTAGGTAGGAAATAAAAAATTTGGATGAAATGAAAAGAAGAAGGGATGAATGAGACATTAGTGGGGGAAGAGATTGTGTATTTTATTTTATTTTTTTGTTGGGTTGAATTAAACTCATAATTTATTATGTTATTTGGATAGAAGAAAGTGGAAATTTTAATTGTTTTTATGATCGTATCTAATAATATTTATAATATTATAATTTATAGAGATAGTCTTTATAATTTAAAACTCGTATAATTAAAAAAAGTACTGTATTTAATTTAAAACTTGTTCACTTGTCATCCCTCATTTAATTCGTCCAGATGAAAATTTGTAAAAAGATTCTTCCTATTCTGTTCTCATTCCATATATTATCTCTGCACAACAAAAAAAAAAAAAAAAAAAAAAATGTTCATTTCTCCATATTTTAACTCCACACCTATATTATCCTTCCTACCGGAATACAATATAAACGGGTGAAATCCAAACGGCGTGCACCCTTATTCATATCTATGTAACCCGCGCTACATCTTATAGCAGCCCACTCTTGCCCTTTAACACGGGGGAGGCAAAAGCCTTTCCCAGCTGCCACCTCAGCTCCTCCTCCATTTATTTGCTTTACGCAAACACAAACCAACTGGTACTCTGCACCCAAATTCATTTCATTCATCGCGTTTCTCCATTTCTTCACATCTCTCTCCAAATTCACTTTCTTCATCTGTAATCTGTCTCTGTCTCTCTTTCTATCTCTGAATTCTAGGGCACAAATTGACTCCACTGCGCCTCTGCAACCATGAATATCTTCAGATTGGCAGGCGACCTGACTCATTTGATCAGTATTTTAGTCCTCCTCCTCAAAATATACGCCACTAAATCATGCTCAGGTAAAATTTACATCTCATTCTTATATATACATACAGAATCACAAACTACGGGTGTATACCCATGTTGAGATCTTAAATCCAGTGTTTCTAGGGTTTATTCGAGCGAATTGTTTCAATTAATTGAGTTTATTTGTCCAGGGATTTCGCTGAAGACTCAGGAGCTTTATGCACTGGTCTTTCTGACTCGGTATTTGGATCTATTCACCGACTTCATATCCCTATACAACACTTTGATGAAACTCGTGTTCATAGGGAGCTCTCTGGCGATCGTGTGGTGCATGCGGATGGACAGAGTCGTAAAGCGCTCGTATGATCGGGAGCTCGATACTTTTCGACATTATTTTCTTGTTGGGGGGTGCTTTATTCTGGCGCTTTTCATTCACGAGAAGTTCACATTTCAGGAGGTCACTTGCTGATAACTTTACCTGATTATGTTGGCTTGTTTTTATCATATCTGGACTATTTGTGAGTTACTAAAGAGAATTTAGTGAATTTTTGTGATTAATATAATTATTTTTATAATCTACCCTAGTAAGATTTCTATTTATGGTGATGTAAATAAGCTGAGAGAGACACGGACAGGGACAGGGACAGGGACGGAGGGAGGGAGTACTATATATAGGGGGGGACATAGTACGAGGGAGTACTATATATAGGGGGGGACATAGTACTGTTGCTGTCTTATCTTATAGTATCCATTTTTTATGAGGAAATTATAGAAATCAATGCTAGATGTTTGCCATTGAACATCTAGTGTAGTGTGTTTTTGATATGTTTATGCCAATATTAGTGTCTTAGCTGGGTTTGTATCTCCAGTATTTTGATTGACCAATGAATTTTATAACCTATGGTCAGTCATTTTTGATGAATTTACTAAGTTTAGGTTGGGCAATGTATTCATCATCTTATGTTCAACTGAATTTGGCATTTTGGTCTTTTAAGGAATGATGTCAACTGTGTCAATTTAGAAATTATTAAAAATGAAAAAATAATATTCCCATGACTGTTCTTCATGGTTCTATGAATTGTATGCGCAACTGTATATCAAATATGATTCATTTATGCAAATTTCCATAACTCACATAAAATAATAATCATCTCATCTTCATCTGAATTTAGCACTATGATGTAATGATGTAAAATGTGTAAAGGTATAAATGAAAACTTCTAAACAATTATAAGTAGTATTCTGATTTTTTTGGGGTTGTTTCTATGGAATGCATGCAACTGTGTATTTGGTGCATGATTCTTTTATGTAAATTTATATGAGCCCTCAAATGTCTACAGGTCCACATCATATCAAACTATTCAAAACCTTCTTTTCAAGTGTTTGTGTGTGGGAATTTAATAACACATTACTTTTTTCCCCTTCAAATTGAAATTTCATTATTACTTATCAAAAAAAAAAATTTGAAATTTCATTATCAAATGATGGAAGTTCTAATTTTCACATGCCTAAACTTAGAAGAGCATGAGGTGGTATGAGGCCTTATAAAATCTCAAGTTTATTTTTGACCATGCATTTGGCCTTGCCTCTCTTTCTTTCATTATACTGTTACCCATCTTGAGAAAATGAAAGATTTCTTTGTTACCAATGGGCCAGTGGTCTAGTGGTATCAAGCCCTTACTTCCCAAAGGGGGGTCAGGGGTTCAAGCCTCAGTGGAGGCATGTGTGTGTGAGTACTACTAAGAAAAAAAGAAAAAGAAACTTATTTGTGTTAGAGTGGGAAAAAATTCTTTAATTTATGTTTGCTGACTGGCAAGGGAAATAGATAATGTTAGTTTTGCATGGTTGATGTTATTAACAAAATTTAAAGAGGCATTTCGTTTTCTTTTATGGTTACTTCTTTTTATGAGTAGCATGTTGACTTTTTTTTAATTTTTATTTCTTATTTTTTTTGATAAGTTAGTAGTATGTTGACTTTACAAATGTATCCATTGATTTAGTCGATATACAATAGTACCAGTAGAAGCTTCATTTAATGTTAAAAGTTCTCTAACCTTTCAAGAAATCTACAAATATATCATTGGTAACCTTGATGAGGGGTAGTGCCTACGTATAATATGGGGGGATTTATGATGCTGCAAAGCTTTGATGTTTTAGTGTCTTGAAAATATTATCAATACATCTATTGGCACTTATCAAAAATAAATATATATATATATATTTAAGATATCAATTGATACTGTCAACTCTTTCTGTAATTTGTTTGTTGTTTGAGAACATTTTATTCAATGTTTCAAAAATTTGCATCATGTGTATTGTTTATCTTTTTGTTAGACACTTTTGAGGCTATATAATTTTTCGTTTGAGCACTAATAATGATTTCTTCTCTCCATTTTGTACTTTTGCTTCCTTCTCTTGTTTTGGTGATATTTCTTCATTAATTTTTGTTTGTTTTTATTTATTATTTTTTTAAAGTAGTATATGAACTCTGAAGGTTTTGTTAAATAATGACTAGATTATTACGAAAGTCAATTCATCACCTTAAACAAAATGTGGATAATATTTAATATTCTTACTTTTAAGAAGATTTATTGGATTATTATTATTATTATTTTTTAATTTATGTTATCTATGCTTTTGTCTAGGTTGTAGTCAACTTCTTCTATAGGTGGTGGTTGTATTTCAATTTTTTATTTTTTTATTTTTATATCTTATTTCTGAATATTATAACTCCACACTTGCAGCTTTATCATATAACATGCATGCCCATGATAGCAATAGTGATGAAAAATTTTATGTTCCCAAAATTTTAACATATACAAGTGTACATTTATATGTATATATATGCCAATGTCTATATGTTCGAGTCTTAATGTTTCTATAAACATCAGGTTTAAAACTTCAACCTGGAAGCAGGTTGACAGATGGCATGTTGGTAACAAGATGTATGTAACTTTTGTTTGATGGAAGTACGTGAGTTAGGGAAGATCTCAATAAAGGAATTTGAAAGAAGACATAACCCTCTGAAAAAAGGAAAAAAAAAATTGAAAGAAGACGTCAATTTTTTTTAGTTTTTACTAAAAATATTTCTATTGAGTGGAAATGTCAGTGCAGAATACCATCTTAGGGCTTGTGGAGGTTCTTGGGGTTGGTTTTTATCCAATTCGTTTTGAGTCAGCTCTTTCTATTGTGTATCTTTTGCTTATTTTCTGTACTTTTTTTTTACTTTTCTTTTGTTTTCCTGTGGGCAAGCCTTGGCGCAAGGCTAAAGTTATTCCATTGTGACCTGAAGGTCACAAGTTGGAAATAAGGAAATAGCCTCTCAACACGCGGAGGTAAGGCTGCGTGCATTTGACTCTCCCCGGACCCTGCAATGGTGGGAGCCTTGTGTACTGGGTTTGCCCTTTACTATTCTTTTCCTGTTTAGGATTAATCATCATTTTTTTTTTTTTTTTTTTTTTCTTTTTCCCTCATTCCGAATTTATTTTGTTGTTTCTTATTTAAATAAATGAATGAGAGTATATATTTTTGTTCCACTGACCATAGTCAGCTATGCCTTTTTTTTTTTTTTTTTTTTTCAGTCAAATAATATTAGGGAGATTGGAAAAAGTTGCTTGGGAAATCAGAAGATTAAAGTAGCCAAATACTACCATATACATATTATGTATGTCAAGTGCTTAATCTTGGTTTACTGGGTAGAATATGATCTAACGGAACTTTAACTACAGACAGAACAAATGGCTTTGTGTTGAACTTTACTTGATGTATCAGTTGCATTGTTAATCTCTCAAGTCTGTACTCTTCACTGAAAGTATATGATGGAATATGGATGGTGAGATGTTTCTAGAGTTTCATGCTATGGACTTTTGGCTTCAAATGTTGAATATTATTGGGAGAAAAGTAAACTCAACTCCTGTATGATCCTGTAAAGCTTGTCTAGTGCTAAGTTAACTTAATTTTTGGAGTCTGAGCTTTATGCTTTCGCGTTTTTACTTGGTGGCATTCTATGCCCCGAACCTACCTGTAAGGTGAAAACCAAGCAACTTAAAGTTGGTTATTGTAAGCGAATAGAACCCAACCAAACAAAATTGGAGAGGGAGGGGTTGCTGGGAGACCTGGTTGGTTGGTTTAGTTCGGGTCAGCACATTAAATGCTGGCTTGTTTCGGCAACCACTGGCCATTTTGTTACATATAGTCCATTTCGGCAGGAAAGATGAGATCACCCAGTTGCACGCATGCAAAATGCAAAATTTCAGATTTTGCTAACTAATTGCACCTTCCTTGATAACCTTCTTAATGTTGTAAAAAATCTAAGGTGAGAAATGAGAATCTCAACGAAGCTTCATGATCTGAAGATTTATTAAAATTTTAGAAACTTTTGGTAGAATTCTTTGCAACATAATGTCAGCATCTTAGCTGGTTACAGGAAAGCTCTCCCTAGCTACTTGGTTAGTGTATATTATTAAATGAAGGCTTGTCGGTTTTTTTAGTAACCACGCAATATATATACACATTACCTTAGTGGTTCTTATAACATGTATATAGATGGACCTTTAAGTATATTTATTTATGCTAAATATTCATATGTGAGATGTGATATACAGACATATTTGATAACTAAATACTATTTGTTCTTAAACGGGATTCATAAATCATAACTATGTTCTACACTCTAAAACAAAACTATAAAACGTGAATTTGTCAATTATGTGATTATGAAGCGAAATAAGTTCAAACTTTAAACATGCAATGTTTCGTTAAACAAACAAATGTTTCCAAGTGGCTTCATGGAGTATTATGCTTAGTTTCCCCAACCAATAATTTAAGAAATCTTTTTCCTCCTCTATCATGATAAAGAACCTTCCCTTCAAATGGTTTGTGCACGAATGAGACCATTTTTGTGTGATAATCGAGGACTACCATTACAATAAGATAACCTAAAACTTTCAAGTTGACAAATAGTTTGCAGATATGTTGCAATACTATTTTCTTGGTAGCATTACTCTCTCTTCTATATTTTATCAGTCTTTTGATCTCTAAAATTCATGTGAAAATTCTTACATCAGAGTTGAGTTCTTGGTTATGTCAACCTTCATGTGCCTCTTTAGAAACACCCAAAAGGCAAACAAGTCAGTAAGGTTCATTTGAAAGGTGGGTTTAAACCTACTTATTCAGTTTGCAATAGGCATTTCATTTAAAATGTCCGTCATTCTATGAATGCATGGGATGCCTCCTTTGGAGGGGTGCACGCACCACTTCTTGCTTATGTGTGTGCATGCACATAGGTAGCTTTTTGGGGGCACACATCATACTGAACTAAGGGCAAAGCATCAAGCAATAATGTTTTGGGTTAGCTGCCCCAAGTTAACTTGTAACTGTAATCTGTTATTGCTTTTCTTTTCTTCTTCTTCTTCTTTTTCTTCTTCTTCTTCTTCTTTTTTTTTTTTTAATTATTATTATTATTATTTTTTGAGTAATCAGTTATTGCTTAATTTTTATTTTTTATAATGTTATTAGTTAACAATGAACTTGCTAAAGGTTACTTAGTGTTATTCTTTGGGAACCTGTTGCACAAAATTGTGAGTAATGAGAATTGTTGCTATTGTACTGCTCTTTGAAACTTTCTTCTAAAGTTTGAGATTCCCCTGTAAAGTCAATAAATATGTGACAAAGAAGTGTTCATATATATTTAGGGCTGCAATTTGGGTGGGCTAACCCAGCCCAGCCCAACCCCAACCCAGAGATTTTGAAATTTGAACATACAATTCACAAATCGGGTTCATGTTCGGGTTGGGTTTTGTCAAAATCCAGTCATATTCGGGTTGGGCTCGGGCTCGGGCTCGGGCTCAACCCGAACCCAACTTGAAAAAAATAAAATAAAAATTCTCTTTCTTCTTTCTCTCTCTTCTTTCTCACTCTTCTTTCTCTTTCTCTCTCTGCCCATACATACAATTTAGCAGTCAGCGAACAATCTTGGAGAGCTTGCGATGGAAAGAGAGAGATCTGAAGCTTGCGATGGAAAGAGAGAGAGACAGCGGCTGAAGCTTGCGATGGAAAGAGAGAGAGAGAGACAGCGGCTGAAGCTTGCGAACCCGAACTGGAATAGCGGGCGATGGAAACTGAAAGATCTGGGTTTTGATTTTTTGAACAATCTGAAATGATATGCCGATCTGGGTTTTGAACAATCTGAAATGATATGCCGATATGGGTTTTGAACTTTTGATTCTTGCAGACAGATAGATAAAACTGAAATATATGGGTTTTGAACTTCTGATGCTTGTAGATTTTGTAGTTTGCAGTTGGAGGGGGGGGGGGGGGGGGGGAGTTCAGAGAGAATAAAGATAGAGGCGATAGGGGAGGCTGAAATGATTTGCCCTAAAAATATTTTGTTTTTTTATAATAATATAATCAAATATTATATATATATATATTATATATAATATATTTAAATTTCCAAAAATAAAAAAATAATAAAAAACTCAACCCGTCAACCTGACCCAACCCGTCCGAAAATATTCGGTCCGAGTTATGACCATAACCCATGTTGAGTACAATTCGGGTTGGCCCAACCTAACCCGATTCGGGTTGAGGTTGGGTTAGGACTGGGCTGGGTTGGGTCAGCCCAAGTTGCAGCCCTATATATATTTAAGTTCTATTTCAGCGTGTTTCTAGGGATCTGTGGGAGAAAAGTTCATCCATTCTTTGATCTCAACAACAAACACATGTTGTTCTTAACATTTTAAAATTCGTAAATTTGTAATTGCTGCAATATGTGCTGCTAATTTTTATGTACTTCTGTTGCAGATCTTCTGGGCGTTTTCAATATATTTGGAGGCAGTTGCAATTCTTCCCCAGTTGGTGATGCTGCAAAGAAGTGGAAATGTGGACAATTTGACTGGCCAATATGTTTTCTTTCTTGGGTAATATTAGATTTCCTTATCTTATACTGCTTTGAAGGAATAAATAATATGGAGTATCTTCGCATTGAAAATAAAAATGATAGGTTTTTGTTACCTATATGAAATATTTATATTTCTATTTTTATTTTGTTTAGTTTTCTCTGGTTGCTTCAGGGGCCTTCTTTCATCCAAATCTAACATTTGGCTGTAGATTGTGCTACACCAAACGTCTATATTAATGTTTTCTTGCTTGTTTTGGCAGTTCAGAAAACTGTTTCTGTTGTGATACTGTTTTATTGCTAAACTTTGATAGTACTCCACTTGGAAATTCTAACCTTCGTCATGAATCCTCACCTCTTTTAGAATTTGAATTCATATTTCTGAAAATCCCTCTATATCTGCCCATTGACCCAGTGTTTAAATGCATTTTTTTCTCTTATTTATAGTGATTTGGTATTTATTTTTTATATCAGCGTGTACTTGAGTTTACTTAGGTTGCGCCCTCCTTTGGACCTTTTATTGAATTTTTTATTACTTATCCCTCTATATCTGCCCATTGACCCAGTGTTTAAATGCATTTTTTTCACTTATTTATAGTGATTTGGTATTTATTTTTTATATCAGCGTGTACTTGAGTTTACTTAGGTTGCGCCCTCCTTTGGACCTTTTATTGAATTTTTTATTACTTACTAAAAAAGAAAATGATTAATTGGACATTTGATTATAAATTATATACACGTGACATGTCATGAATCTGCATTTGTACATTGTTAATTACATATAGGCGCTTGTGTGTTTTGAGATGGTAAAGGATTAGGACTAACCTCATTAAGTAATCAAATAAGTTACAGTTGACTCAGATGGAATGTTTAGGGACATAGAAGTCACGCGAGGCTGGTAAAGCAACTGTGAAATAAAGCGAATCCCTCTTGTCCTTCAAAGTCAAGTTTCTCACTTCATACTTTAAAAAGATTGCAGGGGTGGGTTAGTGCCCTTCCTTCTGCTTGTTCCACTCTATCCATTCATCTCTTCTTTGAAATGGTTATTGAGGGATCTGTCTTGTTCATAGATGGTGAAACCAGGTCAATATCTAATTCTCCTAGTTTGGAACTAATTGGTAGTTTGGATTTTGGAACATGAAGAAGGCTGCATAAGGCTACGGGTATGGTTAGACAGAACAACATAGTCAGTTTGAAAAATATTCAATTTGTGAATCAATGGTGTATTTAACTCCTTTTGTATATTAGTAGCATATTCACATGAAGGTCTTAAACTTAAAGTACTCAATCAGGTGTATAGATTGGTACATCCATAAGGGGAATTATAGTGTGGAAATTTATGAAGGGTGATTAATCTGAAACACATATGGGGTTCAAGACCTTGACCTTTTCTTAGACTTTGGCTGCTTCCCATGTGAAATTGATATGTGCACTTCTTTATAAAACCTTTTATTTATTAAAAAAAAAAAATTAGATAAAAAAAATTGTAGAAATAAATTAAATAATATGTGGAACTTATGTGAGAGTAAAGCAAGTCAAACCAATATTTAAAGCAATCAGTAGTTTGTAGTTTTGGGATTGCACTACATTATTTTAACTTGAGTGAAAAATCCATATATTGGTTTTGCATGCTCCTTAATTACTGTATGTCATCCCATTTTCTAAGTTGGTTACACCTTGAGAATTGTATACTTGTTTTCATCTTCCTGTTCCTTGGATCTTTTATTATTCTGATACTAGCAGATGTTAGAGGAAGGTTTGCATTTCCAGAATAAGGATGTAATAATCCGACTTTTTGTCTGTGCATGAAAAGAATGGTGGTATTGTTTGATGATTACTTGTTTTATTGATGCAAGGGGTAGGCTCCTTTTGGTGTTTGGGAAAAGCAAAACTTTGAAATTTTAGTGTTCCCCTGTTACTGTCGTGCTTGCAGAACAAAATTATGGTAATTTTATCACACCTATTCGACACTTGTTAGTTTCTATATAGGGAGCTTCCATTGATTTTTGGAACTGCGACCTTTTCATTAAGATACTAAAAATGGTAGTGCAGTTCATCATATAATCTACAAAAAAGGTTGTTACTAACATAGTTTATCAATTACATGAATTAATTTTCTTTCTGAATGTCACTTTCCTTGAAAGAAACTTGGCACAAACTTATGCATTGTGATTCTATATAGAAACGTCTGTTTTGTTTTTCAGTTTTTTTTTTTTTTACAACTGGAGAGGGTTCCTACCCCCTTTGGGGGGGGGGGGGGGGGACTAATGCCTTTGAACACAAGACCTCTTGGTCATGCCCAACCTCTTGGTCATGCCCAAAGGGCTTATGACAACTCAGCTACCCCGTGCATATTATCGCATATTCTGTTATGTTTCTTTTATGTTTAAACAATAAATCACAATTCCATCGTTGCATCTCTTATAGTTTTCAATTGTCTGAGAAATTGTCCATGCTTTAAGCTATTTTGTTATAATTTTCTATTTCATTTTTTACTTGCAGGGCCTATCGTGCATTATATATTCTAAACTGGATTTACCGCTATTTCACTGAGCAGCATTTTAGTCGATGGATAGGTAAGTTCTTACAATATTAGGGAAGATCACCATTTGATTGTCGTTGATGCATGTAGATGTTTCATAACGTCATACCTTTTCCCTTGCAGCTTGCGTCTCTGGTCTTGTCCAGACAGCTCTATATGCTGATTTCTTCTACTATTACTTTATCAGGTACGTAGTAATTCCTTCCTCATTAGCTGTTTTATCTGATAAGTAACTAAGCAACTCATTTATTTTGCAGCTGGAAAAACAATGCGAAGCTTCAGCTGCCAGCTTGAGACCAAAAAAAGGGATATGATTAAAACTCGACATGTTGAGCTGGATCACTCTTTTTGTAGATGGCTTGGTAAAACTATCAGTAGCATTACACTTTTGTCGTCAAGAACGAGTACAGGTCTTCCATACCGTGGAATTGAGATAACATCACCATACCTGTCGCTGGGGAAATTTTAGTTATTTTGGTTAGATAACTAGCCTATACCAGCGTTTAGATTTAGATCTAACATCCATGTTTATATATGAGGGGATGGTTTTGAAGTATTGGTAACAGTCCCATAAATGTAGAGCCGCTGTTAAAATTTTAAAAGTGCAAATTTGGCTAACTTCAAAACTGGATCGTTTATTTCAGATATAGTATTCAGGTGGTAAAAGTGTTCTATGAAATGGCGAGCTATAGACTTTCTTGAACCTTTCCGGATCTTCTCTTCTTCTTCTTCTAGATATTTTTGGAGTCAGAATGTTTAAATACATAATTTTCAGATGAATGAATATGCAACCACTCAAAAGGTGCACTTTATTTGTTTTGAGTGGTGAAAGAAGAGAGAAGAATTGTTCTGTGTGCTTGATGTGTATGTTTAACAAAAGTATTATTACTTCCAAGGAAGGTACTGAACAAAAAATGATCACAACAAGGTGACCATGGTCCCTTCTCTTCCTGGGCCATACTTTTGCATTTGAAGTTTGTTCTCTAACATTAAGCCCTGCCATTAATTTGGGCCCTGAAATTGGCTAATGCTTGCGAGTGTGCAATTATGAAATAAAGACGAAAGGGAATTACATTTTGTTTTGTGCACAAATGAAAGAAGTTGGATGGAGAGAATGCATACCGGAACGGCACGAAGTGTAATATGTGATAAATGATTATTCGGTTCCTGGTTTGTTTGTGAAAAAAATAAAGAATCTAATGACTGAGCGCTCCAACGGCTGAATTTTGGAACAAAGTGAAACCTAAGTTCAGTTATTTACGGCTGAATTTTGGAACAAAGTGAAACCTAAGTTCAGTTATTTAAAGATTTTAGTAGAACTTAAAAATATTTTAAGATTATAACCACTTTTTTTATTACAAATGTACATTTTTACTTTCTGATTAGAACATAATGTAACGTTCCGACAGATTTCTGTTCATTTATTTAAATTAAATCATCAAATGTTAGTTAAATTTATCAAAATACCCTTCTTATTTCTTAAGTAAAAAGTTCAAATTATTTTAAATCATTAAAAATCAAGCTAAATAATTTGACATGTACCATATCTTTTTCTCTTTTTTTGTCAAATAAACTCACACATCAATTTTGTACTTTTGAGAACTTAAAATTCTTAATCTTCTATTTTGAAAAAGTTCAGATAATCCTACTTTACTCACACTGTTATCCTTATTCCTGTTTTTATATATTATATATATATATATATATATATATATATATATTTACTAACCCTAGCACAAACCAAAAAAAAAAAAAAAAATTCCATTTGCTATTTCCAATGAGCGCCCATGTCCACGTCAGACCACTTCTCATACGCGGTTAGACGCCATTGGCTAGTTCATCGTGGCAGCTTATGTCATATGGAGCCAAATAGACGAACCGAAGACAATTTCCGAGTGCCTTTCCGTTGAATGCTTCTGCACCCGATCCATCCGCCCCGTTATGTAAACAAAACCAATCGCTTCTTCGCCCCCAACCCCCATCGCCTCTCGGTTTCTTCTAACTCTCTTCCCAGGTCTCTAGGGTTTCAGATCTACGATTCCCAACCGTAAGTCTCATTTTCATAATATATATATATATATATATATATATATATATATATATATACTTACATGTAGATTCTTGTATATGCATGTATTTGTCTATGTATAGATTTTATGATCCGAATATACGAGATATTTTGATAATGATCGGACGGATTCATTGTTGTCATATTTGGATTTACGTGCTTTATTTAGATCTTGTGATGATTTATTTATTAGGTTAAGGTTAGATCTGTATGTTCTTAGCTGATTCAAACAAGGTATTGTGAACGAAGTGAAACGGAATGAAAATCTGTAGTCCTTGATTTCTGCTTTGGCTCTATTTACTTGCTGAGAAAACTTAAGAGAAGGAAGAAAGTAATTGTTTTAGGGAAAATTTTTATTCATATTTCAGATTAATCGTTGCTTTAGGCGCACTTCAATTGGGGTTTATGTAGCTTGCTTTTTTGTGTAATGTAATGAAATTTGGTTTCCTCATATTCTCAGTGTAGTGCATCAGGGAATTATGAATGCAAAATAGAAGCTCTATGAACACTCGCCGTTTCTGTTATGGGCGAGAAATTCAGGTTATCCCCAGATTATGATATTGGGACTTTCCAATTAATGCAAAGCATTTTGAGCTAGCCTCAATTTGTTTTAGTTAGAGTGTTTTCTTGAGCTGTGATTTGAGGTATACTTGCCTTGTAAAGTGGTGATATTAGTCAATCAGATTGCCTTACTTTTTTACCAATAGCTGCTCGTTTGATCTCCTAAGATTGCTAGCTTCAAATATATATTTTCCCTGTGAACATGCACAGTTACTAGCAATGCCAACAACTCGTTCAAGGCATTGTCTTCAGATTAAATAAGTTGGTTTATTGGATCATGACATGAATATACATTAGATGCTGGAGGGTGTGCATATATAAGCTTTATATGAGGGACAACAATTTGAATGAAATCTATGGCAAATGATTTAGAAGGTGGAAATCATTTAACACTTTGTTCAATGTACCCAATTCACATTTGGTTGAGTTTGTCAATATATTAGGCTGATTTGTTCACAATTTTCTTTGTAATTTTTTTTTTTTTTTTTAATATCTTGTGATGTTTATATATTTGTTCACAGTATATTCATAGTTTGCTTGTGAATATGTATTCTCATGTAATAGAGCTTACATATATTATATTTTGTTGTCAATTGGCTCTATATTTTCATGCTATAGTGATGGTTATATTATGGTCAAAATCAGGTTGGAGTGATTTCTTGACTGCTAATAATGGGAGGAGGATTTAGAGTGCTGCATCTGGTCAGACCATTTCTTTCTTTTCTGCCAGAAGTTCAAAGTGCCGATCGGAAAGTGCCCTTCAGAGAGAAGGTCATATACACCGTTATCTCTCTTTTCATCTTTTTGGTGTGCAGTCAGCTCCCTCTGTATGGCATACACTCTACAACGGGTGCAGATCCTTTCTACTGGATGCGTGTTATCCTGGCCTCAAACCGTGGGACTGTCATGGAACTGGGAATCACCCCCATCGTGACATCTGGGCTGGTGATGCAACTCTTGGCCGGGTCAAAGATCATTGAAGTGGACAACAGTGTGCGCGAGGATCGTGCACTCTTGTAAGTAGTATGATAATTTACTTTAGCTGATAGTTTACTGTTAGGGTTAGCTATTGTTGTTAATAAAAACCTTATGGTGCATGAATGTCTCTCTCTCTCTCTCTCTCTCATTCACCCACTTCGCTGATCATTTCTTTTTTCTCTCTTTTAATACATATATCTAATATGCTTAGAAAATTCCTCCAAATGTTATGATTAAAGAATTGTCGGTCAATGTGGTTTTCATTTAGTCAAGTAGAAATGTAAAAGAAATGATTACTGCTTTATGTAGTTTGTGTGATTTTTTTTTTTTGGGGTGGGGAAGTGAATTTCCTTTTACAGATTTAGATTGGTTTTGTTGCCTTGAAATTCTTGAGGATATTACACCATATCTTCTGTATGGTGCATGTTTCTGCGCAGCTAACTCCATTTATAAATTGCATAATTTGCATGTGCTTCTTTGTTGTTGTAAGATGATGTGCAGAAATAATCTTTACCTTTTACTGGCAACTTCCTTTGATGTTTCTAATTGGTTTGCTTTACTTTGTTATTTTTCTCCCAGAAACGGTGCACAGAAGTTGTTGGGAATCCTCATTGCTGTTGGTGAGGCTGTTGCATATGTTCTGTCTGGGATGTACGGCAGTGTCAACCAACTTGGTGTTGGAAATGCTATTCTCATTATTATCCAACTTTGCTTTGCTGGTATAATCGTGATATGCTTAGATGAACTTCTCCAGAAGGGATATGGTCTAGGCTCTGGGATTTCCTTGTTCATCGCTACCAATATCTGGCAAGCTACCAATTCTTTTTCTGTTGATTGTAACATTTTTCCTGGTTTTAACATTCTAAACTTTTGGTTGACTTTGTAGTGAGAGCATTATCTGGAAAGCATTTAGCCCCACAACTATCAACAGTGGCCGTGGAGCTGAATTTGAAGGTGCTGTTATTGCTTTGTTCCATCTACTGATAACTAGGACTGACAAGGTTCGTGCTCTACGGGAGGCTTTCTACCGGCAGAATCTTCCAAACGTGACAAATCTGCTTGCTACGGTGTTGGTCTTCCTCATTGTCATCTATTTTCAAGGTTTTCGCGTGGTTCTGCCCGTGAGATCAAAAAATGCCCGTGGACAGGCGGGTTCTTACCCAATTAAGCTATTCTACACCTCCAACATGCCCATTATTCTTCAGTCTGCTCTTGTGTCCAACCTTTACTTCATCTCCCAGGTAATAGAGCTTTATATGTATAAGTAATTGAAACTTATTATATATATATATATATATATATATATATATATAAGTAATTGAAGCATTTTACTTTGCTGTGCTGCTTCATACAAAATAAAATAATACCATTTTCTGTATATACAGTTGCTGTACAGGAGGTACAGTGGAAATTTCCTTGTGAATTTGTTGGGGAAGTGGAAGGAGTCTGAATATTCAGGTCAGTCTGTCCCAGTTGGTGGTCTTGCTTACTACGTCACTGCACCATCAAGGTAATCAAGTTTTTCTTCGCTCTTCCGATGGTCTTTCTAACCATTTGATTTTCTTTGTTACTTTCGTTTTGGTACATTTTGGAGTAGTTAGTCCTTGACTTTTGTTTCTCCACAATGGTCTAACTTTTGTCTGGTTTTTCATCATTGTGCTCATACATCAGCTTGGCAGATATGGCAGCCAATCCCTTCCATGCTCTTTTCTATATAGTGTTTATGCTGTCTGCCTGTGCACTGTTCTCAAAAACTTGGATTGAAGTATCTGGATCTTCTGCTCGAGATGTGGCCAAACAGCTTAAGGTAATGCTTAATGAGATCTTTATTTATTTTTTTCATTTAATAAATTCTTCCATTTTCCTTTCATTTGGGCTAAATTAAGTGAAAAAAATATGGACTTGCTGATGAAAAAACAAGGAGTATTGTTTTCAATATGGTAATGTTCTTTATAATTCTCGAAGAAAAAAAAAAAAATTGTCCCTTACAGATTATTATTTTATTTTTTTCCTTGCGCACATTAGTTGTTACTGTTTTAGTATATGGCTTGGGGTTTGTTTCCACATTTTTGGGCTCTTTGGGTGTGCAGGAATGTTGTAGTCCTTGACCCAGAACCTGGCAAACCATCTTTTCATTTGGTTGACCATTACGAGGGACGGTCTATATACAGTTATAAATGGTGGTAGTGATTTGGCGATGGTGTGGAGGAAAGGGAGGGACCTCCTACTAGGTTAGCATTGTTGGACTTGTAATATGATCGGTTGATAGATGGTATGCTGATGGTGGCTGAAACATAACATGAAGTTGGATAAGTACATATGGAGAAGTAGCCATGATTATCTTGAAATATTGATTTCATTGATTATACATGTTACACACTTTGGATTACAAGTGAGTTTACAGTAAAATGAAATGTTGACGATTGAGAGAGAACCTACATTACAGTAAAGGGAGATATTTGGGTAGAGAGAAAAATTACACTAAAGAGAAGATACTTGGTTGAGATAGAAAGAGTGTTATACCATTCTTCCAGGAGAACGAGAGAGAGAGAAGGTTAAGAGGGAAATAGATAGAAAAGAGAGAAATTATGAAAGGCTACATTTTAAGGCATAGAGAAAGTAAGGATAAAAGATCCTAAGAGGCATTTGGGTGGTGACGTAGAAGAGGCTTCACTTGTATAGAGGTTATTGAATCTTGGTAAGTTTTACGTGTGTCCTAAAATGTTTTACACAATATTTTAGGAAAATGGGGAAATAACCCCCCACCCCCTGTTGACATTTTAGGAAAATGGGGAAATAACCCCCCACCCCCCCCAACAGGGCCACACCAACAACTGGAGATCGAGTGGAACGACCTGGGGGTACTTGCTTCAAGTTACACACACACACACGCCCGCGCGCGTTTATCTATGTATATATATGTAAACTATATATGTACACTCTCACACATATTTGTGTGCGACTGTGTACTTATTTTTGTACATACTCATTCATACTTGCCTATTCATCAACTTGCGTGTATAGTAATTTTAAAATGCTTCTATTCACATTAATATACATGCTTATTTAAGTTTTTATCGTGAATTTTCTAAGAATTGTGAAAGTATATTCAAAATGTCAACCGAACATTGCAAAGTAAGAAGTAAAATGATTTTTTGATGGAACATATATTTTTTCGTTGCAAAACATTCTATGCTGATACATACAAAGCCAAACATTATGTGAGACCCGTTTATTCAAAACATGGGCCTCATTCCATGTGCAGCCAATTATAAAAATAGCAAAAAGAGCCCTCAATTGATATGTTGACAGTTCGACTGATGTGTATAAACAAATGGAAGCTAAAAGTCTTTATTGGTAGAAGGATTGACAAGTGTCTTTGTTTCTTTCCAGCACATGACCTTAAACCATTTATGGTTGTTCTTTGCTTTTTTTATTTTGACAAAAAATATTTTCCACCAAGTGTTTTTTGTACTTTCATGTGTTTGATTGATTGTTAAATATTTTACACACACATATAAACATTTAAGCTAATGTAAAATGTTTAATGGATATTGTGGCATGATCTCTTAAAATTGAGACTTCAATTTTCCATGATGCTTCTGCAGGAGCAACAAATGGTGATGCCTGGACATCGGGACTCAAATTTACAGAAGGAACTGAATCGATACATACCAACTGCAGCTGCCTTTGGGGGTATGTGCATTGGTGCATTGACGGTGTTGGCTGATTTCATGGGAGCAATTGGCTCAGGAACTGGAATTCTGCTTGCTGTTACTATCATATATCAGTACTTCGAGACATTTGAGAAAGAGAAAGCCAGTGAACTAGGTTTCTTTGGCTTTTAGGGCTCTAGTCGTCTAATTTTGGAGTATGAGTAGCAGTGGCTTTTTTAACATGCTTCATCGAAATCTTGCTGAGTTGAAAAAATATATCTAGTTCGCCCTGGTTAGCAACCTCATAGGATAAGAGAGTGGGGTCATGATGTAGAATGGTTAGTGTCTTTAGTGACATCATCGCATTTGTAGTGTTTTTGCATTTTGTGTAACTTGAAAGTTGAAACACAATGGTGCAGATGCAGAATTCAGAAAATATTTTCTTTTCATTTAAACTTTTCATCTAATTCACCCACTTTCCGGTTGATAACTGTTAAATTTATAGGTTACTGATTGAAAAACCAAAGATCTCGTTCTGAAGAGAATCATCTTGGCATTTTTGCTATGTTTTCTTTGCCTTGCATTCTATCTATTATCAGATATCATCCTTTTGATCTTCTCTCTCCTATTTACAGTATCCCTGGCAGCTAGTATATAATATGCGCATCCTTCATATTTAGTGGTGGATATTATCTAAAAAACATGTGAATGTAATGTTAATCTTGTTGAACATTTGAGCTTATAATCTTGAAAATGTCTAGGAACATGCTAAAGCTTTTTATTTATTTTATTTATTTATTTTTCATGAGATTAACAATTGGAAGGTAAAACCAGAGTGTAGTTAAAAACTAGGTCCAAAAAATTTGAACGGTGACTCACAGAACTAATGTTTTTTAACCCTAAGAACTAATTGGATTGTTGCGTGCGTGCTTTGGAAGAAACGATCTGTTACCGAACATGTTAGCCACCCAATGGACCCAAAATGGGGCAGTGAGGTCAAAACATCTTGGCCACCCAAGGGACCCAAAATGGGGCAGTGAGGTCAAGTCTAAGCAGAGCGCAGGTAGTCGTGAATCATAGCTGTTGGATTGGTATCTAATATGATTGGACGTTGGTGCCCGCCAAAGCTGCAACCTGTAAAATATAGCCAAAGCTGGTGGTACTGCCAAAGTTCCACATGGTATGAACCATGTGAAATTATGAGAGCATGTTGTACCTTCTACAATGGCCACTGCTACTGGACTCGAAAACGTAGGGTGGAGTGCCCTACAGTAACTCCCACTCAGGGCCTTGGATACTCCTTTAAAGGCTTCTTTCTCACCTCCATTTTTTAAATTGGAGCTCACCCCAAGTTAATAAAGTTAGATTCGGAGTAAGCCTCAATATAGTTGAAATCAAAAGGCCAAATTTTTATATAGTTTTGAAATCAAAAGGCCAAATTTTTATATAGTTTTGAAATCAAACGGACCCTTAGTGTTGAGATTCGTGATTGATTGATCATGCCATGCTCTTTTTCGTAGTGTTTTGATTTGACCATTTGATAGCATTGTGTTAACTGTTAGTATTGCAACTCAAATAAATTATTGGACTCCATGAAAAAGTTGACCAAAGCATATTTCATGCGGAGTATTTATTTTGATGGGTAAAGTGGGGGAAAAAAAAAAAAAAAACTCTTTTTATGTACAGAATTGATAAAAAAAAAAAAATCTTAAATAGAGTAAATAAGTATATTTTGTCAATTTAAAGTTTGAGATACTTAAAATGCTATTAGGATAAAATAAAAAAACAAAAAACACTGATTTCAGGATGAAAGAGGAGAGAGATTTAATTATCCACAAGAAAAAAAAAAAAAAAGAAGAAGAAGAGGGGAGAGAGATTTTACCTTTTTTATAAAAAAATTGGTCAAAATTAATTATAAACTGATATTAAAAAAGATTTGCACATATTTTCAAACGTTAATAATTTATATGTATATATTAAATAGCAGGGTATTTTTTTTTCCCTGCCACTCACTATACCCCCATTTTGAGTGACTTGTACCGTGCATACCATGTCAAGTAAATTTTCAATAATTAAGCTACTTTTTAGGAAGGATTGGCCTTCTTTTCGAATGAACATTGATTACAAACTTGTATTTGGGACTATTGGTTCCCTAATGACATGGAAGTCCACTAACGCTTTTGACAATTTTCCATATCAATATTATAGATCAAATTAATTACTCTGCAAGGTTGATTGAGGTGTGGGCCAAGCAAATCAGGGTGGACCAAAACCTACAATTAAGTCCATGAATGCGCAAGAAAATGATTCCAATTATTTGGGTTTATATTCTTTATATATATATATGGTGGAGCCTAATCCAATAACTGCAGCATGTTATGTTTGTTTGAATCTTGGCATGAAACACACATTTCCCCTAGATGTAAGTGTATTACATTTGTGCCAAGTGATTTATTTTTATTTATTTATTTCTTAATGCTAATCCTACTTACCCAATTTTATATGAAATAATATAGGCCATCATGTACTATGAATCTATGATATATTTTTTTGTTAATCAAAGTTATTGACCTAACTTTCTTTGGCACATTAATTTGGAAAGCCATTAAATTCCAAGAAAAGTTCGAAAGTAGATCCAATTCACAAGTGATAGTTACATCACGCAACAAATAGTTAATTGTTTTTCATTAACTTTTCTTCCTAATTAACACCATTATGGCATAGTGGTGGTGAGGCTATGCTGATGGTGTTTAGTGGTCACAATGGCGGCCGCAAAATTGACTTGGTGATGGTTATGTGAAATAGGTGGGTGCTTGTTTATTTATTAAAAATTTTAAGTTATTAAACAATATTATATTTCATTTATTTATATTCATATCACTTTTTTTTTAAATTCGAAGTAAGACAAGTTTTTTCTTGTAACATTATATTATCATAATTTGGTACTGCGTTGGCGGTAATATATGTGATCATAATTATTGAGTTTTAAGAATTATTCATAAACAACCCAATTAATTATTGGAGACATTCTACAGGACAGAGATTGGCAGTATAATCTCAGCAAGATCTAGCTTGACCCATAATTAAGATATCATTATTGAAAATTTATGGAAGCAGACAATGTCACCATCTACAATAGTATGATGTATATCTACATGGATGCATACATTTTTATTCTGCAATATTTGAATCCCCACAACCTTGTATGTAATTATTTTGTTTTTCAATTACTTAATTAAAGTATAATTCATTTTGTTCATCTGCTTTTACAAAAAAGATTGGCGCATTGGCAGTTTGGTTCCAGAAGGGATCACAAGATTCTTAGTAAAGCTTAAGTCAACAATAATGTCATTTCATATAATTCCAATGCCTGTCATAAACTGGACCCCAATAATTGAATGAGAGACTTGAGAGTCCTCATCACCCTCCACTTTCAATGAAAAATCTTCACCAAGCCAAGCACTAGTCTCCTCTGTTCCGCAAATCACGACCAAATCTCAGACTGACCTCTGCAACACTGCAACTATACTTAATTCTGATGTACACACACTAAGCCGTGTATGTGTGTATGTAAGTAACTGTTACAACTTTATCTTTTTTTTATCTTTTTTTTTTTTAACTTTCAAAAAAAAAATTTATCTTTTTATTATATTATATATATATATATATATCCGGACGCTTTAAATCTTGGTTTATCATCTTCATCTCCAGGCTAGTTTAAACTTTAAACTGAGACTCTGATTTTTGACAGGAGTGACCTTTTATTATTATTTTTTTTTTCGGAAGGTAGGAGTGACCTTTTATTGCTGTACCTTTTTTATAGATCGAATCATAATTTACTGTATTAAAATTGAAAAAAATTTAATTCATAAATTGAACTAAATTTTCTTTGACATCAAATTCAGAGTGTAGCACAGTCAAACGTAACATAAATGTAATGTGGGTTGAAAATCACTGTAACACCGCTACAGCACCAATACATTACAGTAAGCCTCTTCTCTTTAAAAAGATTTATATTCTTGTTCCTCTTTGAGTTTATAACAAAGAGACATTTCATAACCAAAACTACTCTCAGTCATTTGAGATATTGAAAGCTTCATATGGCGAATTCAACCAAACCAAATTCAGCTTCAACCAAAAGCAAATTAGCAAAAACGTTGCTAAAATTCATCCACATAAAAACCGCCACAAAAGCTCTCTCATTCAATCTCCTTCGACCCCAAGAGAAACCCAAATACAATCCAAAAAACAAAATTTCTCAGCATTCCAATGAATATGATGACAACCACGAAACAGAGCTTCGAAACAGAGTTGCCATGGAAGCTTTTCTTGCTAAGCTGTTCGCGAGCGTTGCTGCTGTTAAAGCAGCTTACGCGGAGCTACAGACAGCTCAGAATCCCTACAATGTCGAAGCAATTCAGTCATCGGACGAGGCTTTGGTGCATGAACTGAAAGCACTTTTGGAGCTGAAACAGAGCTTCTTGAAGAAACAGATTGATTCTTCACCGCCTCAAGTGACTCTTCTGCTCGCGGAGATTCAAGAGCAGCAGAGTTTGATGAAGATGTATGAGATCACCATGAGCAAAATGCGGAGCGAAATCGAAGCAAAAGAATCTGAAATTCTGTCTATCCAAACAGAGTTGAATGAGATCGATTTGAATAACAAGTTATTGGACTCATCTAGTGAGTCGTTTTCTGTTCTTGATGGCATGAATCCATCCGAATCGAAGCTGAGAGATTTCATCACTGTTTTGCATTACACAGTGAAGTCTATTCGGAGCTTCGTCAGAGTAATGATCGGAAAAATGGAGTCCGTCAATTGGGATATAGAAATTGCGGCGAGTGCGATTGATCCTCGAGTAATATTCTCGAAATCAAATCATATATGTTTCGCGTTTGAATCATTCGTGTCCTCTGAAATGTTAGAGGGTTTTGATCGACCAAGCTTTTCGTCTTCATCTCTCGGCGATCAACGATCTTATCTCTTCGTCGACCGATTCAACACAGTGAAATCGGCGAACCCAATTCATTTTCTCAAACAGAATCCAAACTCAAGTTTTGGGAAGTTCACAAGGACGAAGTATCTTCGATTGATTCATCCGAAAATGGAAGCGTCGTTCTACGGGGATTTGAATCAGAGAGAGCTGATTGAGTCGGGGGAGTTTCCGGAAACTGGGTTCTTCGCGGAATTCGCCGAAATGGCGAAGCGAATTTGGCTTCTGCATTGTTTGGCTTTCTCGTTTGATGGAGAAGTGAACGTGTTTGGAGTTGGAAAGGGTTGTAGGTTCTCAGAGGTGTACATGCAAAGCGTGAACGACGACGTGTTCGATGACGCAGCCGACGGTGGTGGTTTTGAAGTGGCAATGACGGTTGTTCCGGGGTTTAAGATCGGAAAAACGGTGATACAGAGTCAGGTGTATTTATCTCCGGTCAAATCATGACGTTTTATGATTGTATAATTTGTATGTATGTATGTATGTATATATATTGTGATTTGTGAAATAGTGATCTCTCTCGGAAAAGAATCGGTTAAAGCGAGGAGGACCCGAGTGCACATTTCCATTCGGGGCTCACAAGGCAAAGCCGACTCAGTTGAAAGATTGGAAGCGCGTGTGGCGGCGCGTGAGCGTATACGCTTGGTGTTGAGTGCTACTCCGTATCTGTTTAATTTTTGCGGTCATTTCTGACTCAATCTGGAAGCGCATGTCAGCAGTTAGCAGGAAAATAGTTGACATTTGGACCCACACATCCGTGAATTTGGTTTCTAAAGGATATGAACTAGATTTTTGAGTATAGTCATAACTAGACTAGAGCGAGAGAGAGGTGGCCAAGGCAAGTAGGGACTCAGGTGTTTGTTTTTGGGGGTAAGGGTGGAAAGAAAAATTTGTACCCATTTTTCAGAAAATTTGAATAGCATGTGTCTTCCTGCAAAATTTGATCCTCTTTTGTGCAAATTTTGATTTTTACATGCACCACCTTTATTTTGATAACACATTATATATATATATATATATATATATATATATATATATATATTGAAAATGGAGGGAGATTCTACACTCTAATAAAAGTGGAGATTGGGCCGAGGATTCATTACACTATAGTTCATCTCATCACTTTATAATGCAATCTATGTATTATAATTTTAGACATTCATTGAGAAATAATTGAATGGAGATGATCTTTTTGTTTTTTTCCTCTCAATTTTTTTTTTAAAAAAAAATCTATCAATTTTTGCAGTTGATGACTTCAATATGGTTACAGTTCTATAATAATTATTCGTCTTCTGGTGTAAGAAGCAAGAGGCCAAATAAATAATACTCTCTCCGTCTTATAATATAGTTGTCCATCTTTTATTTTTAAGTTGTCCCAAAATATTTGTCCACAATTTAAATAACATATTTTACATTTTTTCATAAAATATCTTTAAAATTTTCAAACTAAATTATATATATATATATTTAAATTTAAAAAATAATTTTGTAATTTTTGAAAATGACAATATAATAATTATATGTTCCTTTAAAAAGTTAAAAAAAAAAAAAAAAAAAACCGAAGGGGGTACAACCATTCAGTTGTCATATCTATTGAATGCATTTTGGAAAATGAAATAATTGGTTAGCAATTTAGATTGAGAATGGTTCACGGGTGCTACAGGGCACTGGCTGAACAGGTTCCAAGTTCATCACAAAAGGCACTTACTTCCATAAACTTGCTTGTCCCCAATATGTAGTCAGGTTTTCAGATGACACTTTGATTAAGTTGATGAGATGAATATATTGCGTGCGTCCGGGATGGTGCCTCGGTTCATTTGCGTCTCATGTGCATAATATGTGTCTGTATAACAAAAACGACTTGAATAATTTTATATTGGGTGCGTTGGATGTGTGGTGTATCTATTCATTTGTGTGGTACGTGTATCTGGAATTACGTATTTATTCTGAACAAATATTGTAATTCAAATGGCAGGCTTCCGTATTAGTGTGCAACTTGGACTAGTGGCTGAGCTCTTGTTAATAACATCCGAAATCCACCCCTACTTTAAGTACGGGTGAAATTTTACAAACAAATTGTTAGAGAATTAATTTTCTAAAAGTATTAATATAAAAAAATAATAAGATTTAAACAAAATAAGTTGAAAAAAAATGTAATTATAAATTGAAATATATATATATATATATAACTATTTTAAATTTAAAAATATATAAAAAATTAAAATTAGAATTAGAATTTGGGCTGGGCTTGGATAGCTGACAACTCAAGGCCAACACTACTTAAAGTTTATGATTGGGCTGATCTTTGTTGGACGGGTTCGCCCAAATTACACTTTTAGAAACCAAATCTTGAACGGCTCACATTCGAATATTCACTCGGGTTTATGAAACACACAATTTTTTAAATTTTATTTCCCATACTATCCAAGTTTGCGAGTAGAATTTAATTAATCTGTCGCTAGTTTTGTCCGTTATTCTCTATGGTTTACATAGAGAATTTGAACTTCACACACACACACACACACACACACATATATATATATATTATCCTTGAATAAGTCTAAATCATTGGATTGTCCAATGCTACAAATGAAGATAACCCATCTGTCCTGGAAGAGAAAAACAATGAACATCAGTGTCCACACAACCAATTAACAAGAAAAATTATATAGACACAAGAGATAAACAACAGAATCTTATGTACAATTGGAGATTTTTCCAATGTTAAACAACATTCAATCTCTTCTCTTCCTTATCGGAAAATATTTTGGTATACTGAGAATTTTGGTATCACAATAATGTCCAGTGACAATCAAAAAGTTGCAGTGGAAGTGGCCATTGGAGCGCTTGGAAAGTGGAAGGACACGTATAAATGGGTTCCGGTATTTGGTGCTATTACTGCAATTGCAATGGCATTTTCTGTTGGTGCCAACAATCTTCCAGCATCAGTAAGTATGTGGTCTTTCCATTTACAACAAGACTGAAAATTAGTGTGCTTTTGCTTGGAACATTTCATGTGAAATATATATATATATATATATGTTGGCATGCATGTTTCAAGCATAAGAAACAATATATACATATATGATCTTAGCTTTAATTAGTTAAAATTTTCTTCTCATGTTACTGGCAATTAATTTTTCGCGTTTCATTTGCAGTTTTCGACACCAGTAGGGTCAGGGACACTGACTCTGTTGCAGGGCTCCATAGCAGCTTGTTTGATTTATGTTCCTGGTGCAGCCTTCGCCAGCAACAGCACTGTTACTGCTTTATTTTCAGATGTATGCAAAATCAAATCTTCTGCTGCTTCTTTTTTTGTTTGGAAATGAAGTCTATAAAAAGTCTCTTATAATTTTTGTTTTGTTGAAGACTAATGATGTTCATATGTTTTAATTGTTGCAGTTCATTAAAGAAAATCAACCTAATGAAGGTTTGTTGATGTGGAGTATGGTGGTTGTTGTCATCACTGCAAGTAATTCACTAAACTAAACTTAGCATACTAGTTTATTTTGGGGGGTAAATTAAACATATCATACTTGATTTCATATGCATTAATTTATTTCTGCTACAGAAATTTTGTTGTTTCATAGGTGGTTAAGGAGAAAAAACAAAGGTTTTATAATCTTAGGATGACATTTCCTAATGAAATAGAAGTTATCGTAACTTATTTCTCTATAGAAAATTAGTTTTGATTATCATCAGTTTCTTGTTCGACTTCTAATGAAGTCTGTTCTTGGAACAGCAATCTGGCTTGTTATTGCCACCTGCTTGGAGTTGCCAGTTTCATCTCAGCAATCAATACAGGGTGCCCTGTTAGGAACCATGCTTGTTACTGAAGGTTTTAGCTTCATACCCTTGTGGAACAAGGTAATAAAACAAACACACATTCAAATGTGTGTTTAGAGGTCTTGACATGAAATTTAGAGGTCTCATGGTTGGACTTTGGATGAATTCCATTGCAGAATGAAAATCACAATTTCAATGGTGGAGGTATCCTTTGGATCTTCCTCGAATGGACTGTAGCTCCATTGATTGCCTGTTTGTTGGCGTATTGCCTCTTCGCCATCTTGAAGGCTTCTATGCTTCGTCGAGAAAATGCCAGGAAAAGGATCCTCATTTTTCTACCCATTTTCTATGGAATAACTGCAGGAATGCTATGCTTCTTTGTCATGTATCAGGTACTTTTTCTCATCCAAAATTAAAAACTATAAACAAGGAGAGATCATAAATCCTAACTCATTTTGTCATGATAATTCAATCTTCTCATCACAAGAGCAACCCAAACCCTAAATTATTCTCTCATCTATACTGTAAAAGGTGCACATTTTGGAATGCCAATATACTGCAATATTTTCTTCTTTGACATTATTGCTACTTTGACGATTATACTGCAGGTCATACCAAATTTTAAAAATGTCTATAACTGGATTACAATTCTTGCTGTCGCAATGGCCACCTTGATTGGAGCCTTATTTTCTCTGGTAAACTACAAGGCATTACACTATTTTGATTAAAAATATGCTATTAATCAGGTTATATAAATGAATATTTTGATCATTTTCAACTTTAGGTTGAGGTTGTCCCATTGGTTAGACGAAGATTGGACACTGCCGAAACTTTCAAGACCACAAAGAAAAAAGGCTTCTCTGAGGCATCATGCATAGAATGCCAAGACCGAACTTCCAATACTGAAGCAGATGACAATGAAAAGTTTGAGGAAGCTTTAAGAGATTTTATGCAGAGGAAAGTCCTTGACACAGTCTATGAAGAGGATGAGCGGAGCTGGGCTTCTGCAGAACCAATCACAGAACCTGAACAAGTTCAACCAGTTTCTCAGTCTACCGCAGGACAAGCAACTCCACTGAAACAACTTCTTGAGTCTACACCAAATCATTTGGTTCAATCACGAAATTTTCAGAAGATTAAGAAAAAAACAACAGAGAATCCCTCTGAACTTATTAGAGATTTTACAAGATCCAAAATTTTTCCTGTAAGTATTCACTATATTTGTCAACACTTTAGCTCACTCTTTGAGCAATGCTCATCCATTACTCATTCCCTACCAACGATAGGAAAATAAAGCTTGTGATATCAAAAACTAAGTTCTATTCTCTAAATTTAATTATATATTTATGTATATATTTATCAAATGATGATTAAATCCAAAAAAATTGTAGGGGCACCAAAATCATCCTTTTGCATGTTCTTATGTGTGTAGGCTCATTAAATTTGTCCCTGAAAACTTTTTCCAAACGATAGAAATTCTGCTAATTCTTGGATATTCTTGTTTTGAAACAGGTAATTGAGTATGACAGGCATACACTAATCCGTCACGCACTTGCAGAGAAGTTTGATGATATGGAAGACCTCTTTGGTTTTCTTCAAGTTCTAGCTTCTTGCATGTTTGCGTAGGTTTATTCTTAATGGACTAAAGCCACCCTAGTGGTTATATTTGCCATCCAGGCTTCTCATACAATAATTCTATATAAAAATAATGGGAAAACATGCCAATAAATTTTAATCTACTACAACATATGCAGGCTTATTCAATCTGCTAGTGAGGTTGCTGCTGTTGTGAGTCCATTTGGAGCCATTCTTGATGTTTTTACGCACAGAGCGAAATATTCTGGAAATGCAGAAGATGTGGTGAGTTGAAATCTTTTCTCAGCACAGCTCCTTCATGTTTAGCCCTCATCATCTGGTTAAGGGGTAGCAACATTGAAGTGACTAGGCCAAAATGTTGCATATTACTGGTTGAAACAAGTAAAGAATTGGGGCTAACTTGAGGAGCTGAAGAATTTTTGTAATTGCAATTAGTTTGTTGGTGATCATTTTTCATGAGGCTTCTACAGGCAATATATTAACCATGTATAAGTAATACTAGGGTTCTTTACATGTCAATTGGTGGTTTAGAGCACTTGGTGGACTTAGTGCCTCTATGGGATTCTTTCTGTGCGGATGGCGACTGACTCAGTGCCTTGGGGGCAAGCTGACATACATAAGTAACTCGAGAGGAATGGCGTTGCAACTGTCCTCTGTGGCGACAATGATCATGTTGACAAAATTGAAGCTTCCAGTGTCAAGTGTTCATGCTTTTATCGGTTCTTCTGTAGGCGTTGGTATTGCTGATGATCCTCGGGTAAAACATTTCCATGCTCACTTCTGTCTTGATTTTTGACATTCTAACAGACAACTATCTGAAGCCTTACAATCCATAACATGAACATAACATAAATAATTCATATGAATCATTTGAATAATTAAGAAATCAACTCATTAAGCCACCATAAATTAGGATCCAAACCAAAATTTATTTTTTGGTGAATAATAGATATGTATATTTTTAACACTGAATGATAATTTTGGTCATTGCAGAATGTGAATTGGAGGTACCTAGTGAAAATCTTATGCGGGTGGGTGATCACCGTTCTGTTCTGTTGTTCAGTTTCTTTTGCGATATATGCCTTCACAATACACTCTCCTGCCTATATAGTGCCATGATATTGCCATGAGGCACCATCATTCCAGTTCCATTTACACTGGTTTAGTACCATGTAATTTTGTAATCATATTGTTTATTCAAAATTTTGGGACGATTATCATTTTTTTTTTGGGTTCAAATGCAAATCGATTATCCTGTGTAAATCTTTGGAGCTTTGACAGGAACAACTTCTTTTGATACCTTGGACAAATGAACACATGGTGAGAATACACATACAAAATGTATGCATTCATGCATGAGACAGTGATTGTACATCCATATGTACACAAATATTGCTTCCAAGTACTGATTGTGCTGCAATTGGTAGTATACAATGATTAAATTATGTTATTGGAAGTTGAAATTATGAGTCCAAAAACACCAAATTGAAAAATTATTTATCTCACTCCACAATGGAAAAAGTACTTAAAATTTTGAAAATAGGATTGAAAAGAATTAATCCCAGCACTTTCTTAGAATTGGGAAGTTTGTAACTTTTGTCATGTGAAAAACAGAGGTCTAAAAGCCTTTTTTTTAGTAATGTGGCAAGCATGTCCACTAATTCTTTCACAAACTTTTTTCAACCTAACACAACCACCCCTTTTTTCCTGATTGCAATTTTCATACAAAGCTAATCCCTTGGTAGATGGATGCATATAATCCATGCCATAAAGTTCAAATCTCTTGTCCCTACAAAGATCGAACTACAGAGCAAAATAATCTCTAAATGTGACTAGATAAGTGATGAACACATAATTTCTTTAGGACATTTTCAACAAACCCTTTTCAGCATATTCCTAAAGGTGAATTGATCTTCATGAAAAACCCTTTTGCTTTAATCTTTTATGAAGATCACGTGATTAGGTGTCAAGGTCAAAACTGATAAAATGATCCTTTGGTTACAGAAATCTTGTCCAACACCAAATTCTGGCAATAACTAAGGGAAACTTGTAATGTAAACTAATTTGGGAAGCTCGTTCTTCATTCACATGGGTATCCGACGACTCATTATTTGATCTCAATCATCGACAAAATAATAACCATGGAAGCCCAAAATTCTTACAGTAACTTCTAGGCTATTGGTATGGATTGTGGAGTAGAAAACACATATGTTCCACAAAATGTCTTATGATATTGTTTTTTCCGCGTCATTATTTTTTTTTTTTTCCTAGTTGGTACTCACACACACATGTCTCTTCTGAAACTTCCGTGTCATTATTTTCAAAAGACTAATTTTTTTTAGTTGTTTTCAAATTTGTAGTCCGAGGTTATAGATTTGATCAGTGATGAAGTAAAATTAATCTCTTTTTGCTTGCAAGAAAATAGCATTGCAGAGAATAATAATCAAATTCAAAAGCTTGCAACAATCATCACATCAAAGACTACAACTCACCACCTAACCATGCAGGTCGTGCGCCGACGTGCCATCTCTTTCTATCTCATTTTTATTATTATCTGCTTTCTTTAATTCTTCATTTTCTAAAGTTATCATCATTTCTTCAACTCTACTCACCCTTCAGATATGTACAGAAGTCAACATTCCACAACACATGATCCTTTTCACTTCATCGTCTCATTTTATGTCACTGTCTTCCAGTTGTGACTCAATGAAAATTTTCATTAATTGAATTAGCAAAGAAAGAAAACAGTTTTATCAGGAAATTAACTTTGTCTGAGAATAATTGGTGTAACATATACTCCGTGTATATATATATATATATATTAATGAAAATATAGTCACTTTTGAAAGCTGGGGTCCTCAAAAATGGTTTTATATAATGATTTTCCTTACTTTTATTGATGTTGCTTGAAATTTCCACAAGTTACGCGGCAGTGTTACATGTTGAGCTCCTTCCTTTATGTTTATCAGGATTGCATATTCATCAAATGTCAAATCATGTGTTACTTTTAGACATGTCCTTGTATAAATACTATATATATATATATATATATCTCACCATACCCTCTGATTGTCATATCGTCATCTCCATTTTAGTCCCATGGCCATCTTCAATCACTTACCTTCTTCTTCTGTATTCCTCACACTTGCATTTTTGCTCGTTTTCGTAGCGGCCGATATTTCTGAAGCTCGAATGTACCAGCCGTCAATGGTACCAAGTTCTGAAAGCAGAGGAGCTTCAAAGATGGTAACAGTTGACAAACAGGCATTAGAGTTGCATAGGATGGATTATCATCTCCTTGCCAAAGGCCGAATACCGCCTTCCGGTCCAAGCCATAGGGGTCACAAGTTATCTCCTCTGAGAAAGAACCCATAGTCTCTGCCAATTTTAGGAATTGGCCATTGGTTAGTGTTTTTTGGGGAAAAAGTTTTTTTTTTTTTCAAAAAAAAAAAATCAATGTAATCGTATTATCTAGATGACACTAAATATAGTTAAAAAACAATGAAAGGTTGAATTATATATAATGTGCTCGAGTTGAGTTATCTAGTTATCTACCATGAAATTCAAAGTTTGGTTGATTTAAGAAGGATGGTTTATTTTCTCTGTGTTAGGTCTTCTTAGCTTTAAATAAAGCTCTTTGTCCTTTACTTTGCCTTTTAAATTTATTTTTGATTGTTTTCAAAACTGTGAAGAGTCTCAAAACAATTGTGTCCTAATGTTTGTCCTTTTATTTTGTTATGCAGCAATTCTTTTTTTTTTTTTTTGGGACTGGCCTGAAAGTTCAGATATAATATAAGCAAATGTGTATGATGATTGATGGGAGAAAAATAAAAAAATATTAATGCGCTTCTCGTTTTGTCTACATCTTCCTATTATTAAGTGAAGTGAATCATTGATACTTATAATGAGTTCGACTTGTCATTATTTTAAAAATTTTGAACTTGGCATAGACACACGTTAGCATGGTCTTTGAGCAGATGCAAGTCTACACGAGTTTTGTGTTCAAACGCTTACATAAATTACCAAATATTCCTAATCACTAAATTTTATATGAGCCAATTATCATTTCACAAATTACTCACTACGGTACTCTAACCCCTCAGTTCAAATTATCATTGGGCTAATGGCTCATTGATGCTCTTCCTTGAATGAAGGCTTGATATTTGATTTGTAGCTCTATGGTTGATGAATATAGAGATAATACATAGATATATGGATATATATAAAAAGAATCTTTGTTGGGTCGCTATAAACAGCTGGTGGTTTTCAGGCAATCACTGCGCTGAATGATACAGATTTGTTTTATTTACTGGGCCTCAGACACTTTTTACCTCTGGTCTTGAGTACATCCAAGTGAAAAACAAATCCAATGATTGGCTCATTCTAATTTAACAGTTTTCAAAGCAGTGAATAGGGCAAACGGTAAACTCTAAAATTTTGAATTGGGCTACACTATGCATACCTTTATCCACATATGTTCACAGTACCAATCATCGTATCAATAGTTGAATGGTGCTACAGATAGACAGTCTCAGAAAAATGATCAATTTTTTACTACTCATTTACCGATAAATAGTTTTTATTGGACTCTATTAATTAAAATAGCACGTAAAAAAATAAAAAATATCTATTTTTGAATCATTAGTGATAACAGAGTTTTACATCATATGTTGGAAGAAAAAATATTTTTTCCCTTTCCTTCTCTGTTTTGGGTAAGTCCGGACTCTTTTGATTATTCATTCTCTAGCATATTAGTATATTAATTGCATTTGTTTGTTAATTTTATAATAAATTGTCCCCGCGTATGAACGTCGACATTTCAAAATTTTAAATGTCCGGCCACTATATTTGAATCCATTAATTATATAGATATATATACATATAGAGACAAAATGTGAGCATATGTATTAACCAGATGCAGAAAAATATGGTTCTTCGTTTCCAATGGTGATACGACTCCTTTGTTTGCTTGTTTTTCTCTTCTGTTTTTCCTTTGTTAGGCATGTGTTACATCCAATTATTCTATTGTTTTATTGCGTGCACGTTATAATTTATTTAAGGCAGTGATTGGCTTATTGAATTGATGAGTTATATTTATGTCACAAATAATACATATATAATTATTTGGCCTTGTCATTTTGGCCCACTAATAAGGTGTTTCTTGTAAATGTATTAGTTAAGTATAGTTATCTTCGCTAAGCATATATGGAACTGGTTTTTTGAAATTTCAACTGATTTTTTTAAAATTCCAATTTCCTGGCATCAATTTCATACTATCAAACATAACATAAAAGCAATTCATACTGTCAAGGCGGGTTGAAGAAATGCATTGCCATGATAAATATGACTTAATCATGTCTTCTCGGGAGGTAAACCATATAGAATCAAACAGCCATTAGATGCTAAATATCATCTCCTAGTTTATTTGATGAAATTTAACAACAAACTTTGCATGCATTTTTTTTTTTTAAAATTTCTTTTCTTTTTGTTGGCTAAATACTCATACACGTACGCTGGATATCATCATTTCTTTTATTGGGACGTGAATTCTCAACCTTTCTTGTGGGAGGAGAGACCCTCCTTGAGTTAAAGCCTCAATTAAATTTTAATTCAATATTTCAGTTTGTTTCCTGATGCAGTAATGATTACATATATTTAAGTGGCAAGTGATTACTTTGGCCTTGTATCTTCTGTACTGAAACATTTATATTTGAACTATCCTGTTGGAATATTTTCAACGTCTTTCTCAGAGATCAAAATGATTTAATTTCCCAAACACAAAGAAAAAATAAATATAAAAGAAAAAAAAATGGCAAACGCACCTTCTAACTAAATGTATTCTTCATATGTTTCTTTGAAAAAAATGGACATTTACAACGGGCGGCAGGAGAAAGAGAAAAGAAAAAAAAAAGAAAAGAAAAGAAAAAAAGAATAGTCTTTTCTTCGATTGCTATGAATCCACCTGAATTAGCACTCATCACGAGAATTAAGCAGGCTTGGCTTCAGAGTCCCTTTGAAGAACACCAGATTGACTGTAGAACAAAGGGTTAAAGATATTAAATTATACTCAAAACAAATGGACTGCAAATTCAAATCTGTTCTCTCTCAAGAACTTAATGAAACAGAAAAGAAAATATAGCTGCATACACTGAAGCAAAATTTGTATCTTCTTCTGCGGCGTGCTTCTAGAGCATTTCTTAACTTCTCTACCATTTCATGTTCCGTGGATATTCTCCCCGGTGAGCTTAAGAAAACACGCCTCTCAACCGGAGGAGACCACAGTCCACTTCGAGAATAATCAAAGCCAAACTCTGATACATCGCAGAATTTTATGAGAAGCCGGTCCGATACAGACTTAGAAACCAGCTGCACTCTCACGGGAGAATCCTCAGGCAATGAAGGTGAATACGAGATTTCAGAGAGAGACATTGATGTAAGTTTGGCGGCTTCAAATTGGTGAGGTTGAGAAGGAGACAACAATATTTAGGTGGTTTTTACAAATGAATTTAGAGGTGGACACACACTTTTTTAAGACTATGTGACAAGGACGTGTATGGCTGTGTGCAATCACGGAGTGGACGTGGCTAGCATGATTACAAGTACCAAATTTTGGTGTTTGAATATCAGGGGGTTTAAATTGGCCAAGACTTGTTTTGAGATTTGGAAAGTGAGTTTTATCTACATGAAAGACCCTTTTTTTTTGGTGAAGTTGAGGCAAACTTTTTTCTCAGGTTTGATTGGTGAACCATGTTTGTATAAAGATCAATGGGACCCATCAAAGGCAGGTGGACCCAATTGCTAGAGAGAATGTGTGGTACTCCATTGACCATCAGCAGTAATTAATTGGTAGTCTGAAAATCAAATCCCTATGTGCCATTCTGATTTTTGGAAGAACATATAGTGTGGTCCTGAATTTAAATCAGAACAAACATTTTATGTGAGATGGAAAATTTGAATGAATTTTACGCTGTTTGAGGTATGCATATGAAACATATGTGTTCATAATTTATGTACTGTTATTGTATTATTATGTTGAAGATAATGCTAATATTAGTACTGTAATGTGTTGGCAAATCAACTCAACTATGTGCTTTCAACCTCAGCTGGCTTGGATGGTTGGTCAACAGTCACTTCGCTGCTTATTTTCAGATTTCAATGTTTGCTAGTGTAAACAATTATTAAATTGTTTAATGTCATACTAAATCAAATTTTTTTGGAGTTTTTCCAACAACCATTGTTCGTTGCTATATATATTTTTATATATATATATATAATAGAATTATTCAGGTAATGTTAGTGTCGGCATACCCGACATGGATATCCAACCTAAAGCACTTGGCATGGTTGGTAGCTAAAAATTATAAAAAATGTACAACATTTTGTTATTGACATTCGTAGAAGGCTGGTTTTGAATGCTAATTCATAGGCATGATTGGTACTTGAAAGCTTTTGTGCTTGTGATCATTTAACATATCCATAAAATTGTTGTATAACTAGTGATTACCGAAAACAGAGGATGGGACTCGATAGTTTTTACCAAAGGAGCTTTAGAAACTTGTAATTCGGATGGTTTGAAGTTATTGGTTAAGTGGTGTAACGACTTGAAAAGATATCAAAATAATAATAATAAAATTTATAAAATTTCGGTATGACCTCCGTAGAAAAAGTCCTTCTACAATCTGTTGAAATACAAAAAAAGATGCAATGACTTCACTGACTTTAAAAATAACCTATCCTGTTCCAACGCATAATACAGATATTATATCACATTCCCAAGATAGTTACATACAAATGAAATGTCCCCTTCCTTCATATCATCTAAACAAGGAGTACACTCTAGTTACATCAAGTTACAGTCCATAAAATGTTGCTAAAATTTAATAGTCCATATCTTACAACATTATACTAATTAAACTAAAGTTTCACAAGACAGTTAATATTACATTTACATTTACAAAATATTAGAATTCTAATACAAAAGATAGCAAAAAAAAAATAGATCCCCAAGCTCGTCTAAACTTGTGGTGGATCGTCGTTCGCCACTTCTTTTCCATGTCCTGAAAAATGTTAAAAATAATGGGGTGAGCATAACCTCAGTAGGAAGTATCTAAGATATTCTTCTTATATCCCTGTGAATCCATACAATGAATAGATAAAAATAAACGGGATCACGCCATAGGAAAATGCACATTCTCAAACACAATAATAAGTATGTAACAAATATCAAGCAATCACAAGTTTACCACAATGTCATGAAGTGCAACGTTATGCAAATGTCACTCCCCATTTTCCGAAACATTTCCGTTTCAACTTCCACACCGTTAGTGTAATCCGATCCAAGGCACCTCCAAAGCGTCACGAATGGAGGGTTGACTAACTATCCACGACCACAAGGCACCTCCAAGATGTCGCATCTGACCTAGTTAGCTCAACCATACTCCCTTCTAGACTACACTAATAACACGGACTGCTAAGCGCCTTTTAGGCGTCCGGTTTTCGCAAATTCCTTTGAAAAAAAATTATTTTTCTCAAAAACAAATTCATTTATTTTAAAACATTTTTTTTCCCCCATTTTTCTTTCCTAATAGATGCATGAATGCTTCATGCTTTATTTCATCAATTCAACCATAAAGTTCCCAAATACTTTTTCAAATAAATTAATAAATTACCAAAAAATACACAACTCATATTCTAATGCCACATTTTGCTAGCAATTTAAATATACAATTCACAAATTTATTTCCATAATTATAACATGAATTTTCATAGCAATTGAAATCATGAAAAAAATCAACACTAGACATGCTTCTTTACAAGTTAAAAATTATCATACTAATAAGTCCAATTAACACATAACACACATTTATCACCATCAATATAAATAACCCTAATAAGCATAATCACAAAAATTAAAATTAAGCATGCTTAAAGTCAAATTAAAGGGAAAAATTTTACAAGAAATCTAAGAAATAGTGGATTAGAGCACCCCTACCTCAATTAAAAGAAAAAACCCCAATTTAAGCCTTAATTTCGAAATCCCTAGGCTTGGCTAAATGGTGTTTGGCTCCTATCAAATTGGCGGTCTTGATGAGCTCTCCAACTTTGCTTCACAAAGTTATACCAAAATCTCAAAGATAAAGGAGGAATCAAGCTTTAAATGGTGAAAAGAAAAAGAAAAACTAATGTTTCAAAGAGAGAGAATAGAACTGCCGAGAGAGAGAAACGAGTCTGTGTAATGGCCTTATGGCCTTTATCATTGTTAACACATTTTTGTGGGTCCCATAACTGAAAAGAATTCTTTTAATATATATATATATATATATATATATATATATATATATATATAAACATTACATTCTCCCCAACTTTAAAGGATTTCGTCTCCGAAATCAAGCCATACCTGAGGGAGAAAACAATTCTAGATACTTGGAGCGAACCTCTTGTTCGAGCTCCTAAGTAGCCTCTTCAACTCCGTGATGCCTCCAAAGAACCTTTACCAAAGGTATCGTCTTTGTCCTCAACACCTTCTGTTGTGTGTCAATGATCTGAACTGGTCCCTCCTTATAAGAAACATCCTCATCAATGTCCACATCAACCCAATTCAAAATGTGAGACAGATCCGGCTCGTATTTCCATAGCATCGATACATGAAAAACATTATGGACTCTGTCCATCTGCGATGGCAATACTAGTCTGTAGGCAACCTCTCTTACACGGTCCAAGATCTTAAAAGGTCCAATGAATCGTGGCGACAACTTGTCACTCTTCTCGAACCTCATCAACCCTTTCCGTGAAGAAACCCGAAAAAAAACATGGTCTCCCACCTCAAAGGATAGTGGTCGTTTCCGCCTATCTGCATAACTCTTCTGTCGACTCTGAGTTGTAAGCAATCTCTACATGATCAGCTTAATCTTCTCGGTAGTCTCGAGTACAATGTCGGGTCTTAAGGTGGCTGTCTCGCCCACCTCAGTTTAACAGACAGGAGACCTACAAGGTCTACCATACAACGCCTCAAATAGAGCCATCTGAATACTCGCCTGATAACTGTTGTTGTAGGCAAACTCAATAAGTGGAAGGTGATCCTCCTAACTACCACCCAAGTCAAGAATACAGGCCTGAAGCATATCCTGCAAGATCTGGTTGGTACGCTCTGACTGCCCGTCCATCTGCGGATAGAATGCCATACTAAGGTGCAACGTTGAGCCAAACACTGCTTGAAGTCCTTCCCAGAACTTCGAGGTTAACTTGGCATCCTTATCTGAAATAATAGCCACTAGAACTCCGTGCAATCTTACAATCTTTTTCACATAAAGCACACCAAGCGCCTCTGCATCATCTGTTGCCTTAATAGGCAAGAAGTAAGCTGTCTTGATCAACTACCAATAATGACCCATACGGCTTCATTTCCCCTCCGTGACCAAGGAAGACCTGTCACAAAATCCATGGCAATCTCCTCCTATTTCCACTGTGCTACCGGCAATGGCTGCAATAAACTAGCTGGTTTCTGAGGTCTTCACCTACTGACAGGTAATGTACTTAGCCACAAACTGTGCAACATCCTTCTTCATTCCATTCCACCAATACTGACGTCTCAGATTGTGATACAGTTTGGCGCCACCCGAATGAATTGCAAAGCGGGAACTGTGAAATTCCCATAAAACGTCCTCACGACAAACTGTGGGAACAACCAACAAACCCCTGAACCGTAGACCTCTATCTGCATGTAAGGTCCAATCCTTCACGGTCTCGCCACTGGAGATCAAGGTGTAAATGACATCCAAATCCGAATCTTGTCTCTGTGACTCAATCACCCGTCTGACAAGAGTGGGTTGAGCCACGTGACTAAACAAGAATGCTAACTCACTGCCATCATCATCATCATCAAAGCAATACAATCCCATTTCAGCCAAACCTTCAAACATCTTCTACTTCCGAATGGCTAAACTAGCCAAAGTCCCACGAGATTTTCGGCTTAAAGCATCAGCTACCACATTTGCCTTACCCGGATGATATTGCAAATCAAAGTTGTAGTTTTCTAAGAACTCAACCCATCGCTTCGGTCTGTTGTTCAAGTCCTTTTGGGAGAAAAGGTACTTGAGACTCTTGTGGTCCGAGAACACCTCAAATCTCTCACCATACAAATAGTGTCTCAAACACTTCAAAGCAAACACGATTGCCGCTAGCTCAAAGTCATGAGTAAGGTAATTATGCTCGTGAGTCTTCAACTATCGAGACTCATAAGCCACTGCTCTACCATCCTACATCAGTACACAACCTAAACCATCATGTGAGGCGTCACAATAAATCACATAACCTGTCATGACCCGAAAATTCCAATAAAATCCTCAATTTATTTAACTCAAAATACATCAAAATACACCCAGGATTACAAAAAAAATGTCCTCTTTTTATATAAAATCAATTTCCTTAAATATACAAAACTCTCCAAATAAATAAAAATAAAATCCTCATAATGCCGACTCTTCATCCTAAGCTCGTCTCTAGCAATCCCCGTTCATCTTCGGTACCTGAAACTGGAGGGTGGTGAGACAAAAAGTCCCAGTAGGAAAAACCATAACAAGAATTTCATGGAGGTTTAACAAAACAGCTTCACAAAATAAACATATAC